ATTCAAATTAAATTATATTGTGTCTCCTTCCTCTGTATATGTTACTCTTCAAAGTGGAAACATGTCAAATCTCGTTGTGCAAACTAACCCATCTTATTTTTTCCCCATCTGCAGTTTTTAAATTGATTTCAACAATACAGATGGGAGTTAGAGTGTACTGTTATTTGACTGGCTCCTTATGCTGCAAGGACTTCCAGATATATCCAGATATTATTAGTAAGTCCATAGTGGTGATTTCTCTCTCTGAACAAGGAGTCCCTACAAAGACATTCTACTGTAAAACCATCAGAATCATAGAAAGTGAATGACTACTACTCTCAAAGTTTTCTCTGATGACTTCCCTCATTGTGGTGGCCTGTAAAAGGATCATCACAAGAGCCTTCAGCATGCATCGTGGGTATAATAGCAGCTTCAGTGTACACAGTCCTAACTTGAGAGCAAAACACAATACTATATCTAGTTTCTTGACCTGGAAATGTATCTTACATGGAGCTAATCAGGAATTAGGTATCTTTCATTTGATTAAACCGACAAGCTGAGAGCACTAAGAGAGGAGCCCTTTACTGACGATAAAAAAACCTCAAGGATTTCAAATAAATCTTGAACAAGGAGGAACTGAAGTTAATTTATACTGTAGCCCATGTAGCCAAAGAATTATTTCACTTCTGCCCCATACATTCTTGAGCCACCTCTTCCTAAAAGGATGTTCCAGATCTGTCCAAGTTCTATCCAAGATCTGTGCTACCAATTGAAGAGAACTTCTCAACAGGTTAATAATGTCTGAAAATGACAAGAAGCCCCTGGGTATTACATAGCTTATCTGAAAGCCAAGCTCTCTTCCACAGAGAACAGGACTTTGTCCTGATGGCATTTTAATTTTTTTAATTAAGAATTTCTTAGTCTAGAGGAACAAAAGAACTCACTACCCTTAAGAGATGCAAGAACTAGCCAACCAACCATTAGCTCCTGTGCCAATGTGAAACCTCTTCATCATGCACATTGGAAGGATGTTTATTTATTTACAGGCTTTCAGGGAAAGGACACTACTTGCCAAATATGCATCGAGTGACCATCTGCACTAACTTGCTCAGCAGTCCTGCCAGAGGTAACTGTCTGCATGTGTGTGGTAATACTTACTTACATTGATGTAGCATACAACAGACAAAAGGAAGAATAGAAGCCCCTCCTGTACCTGCAGATCTTACTGCCTCTGTGCCAGTAAGGTTCTGAATGACAGAATACACCTAGAGTGCTCCATGCCCATTTGGCCACGCTTATGACCTCTTTCCATAGCTAGTTTAAATGCCTTCCCTCTGCTGAGTCACATAACACATGCTGCCATTGGAAATAAGGAAAAAGAACCCAGGAGTCCATAAATTACTCCCAAATCTAGAACAATATAAGAGGCTTTTCTGTCACAGAAATCCCAGTGACAAAGTTGTGAAATTGTTGGTATAATCTCCTCAGCCCAAGCACTCCAACTTGTCATTGTTGTAGCTGAAAGGCAGAACAGTATACCTGTGTGGACACTGTTGTTCCGTTTGCCACATGAGGACAGTTTTATAGGGCACATAAATGTCATAAGCAGTCAGTTACTAGATAGTGATTACAGACAATCTAATTGCCATTAGATCATTGGGCAGGAGAGGGAAAAGCATATGTAAGGCCACTGAAGACAGTGCTGGCACTGTAAGGCTTTTACAGGAAAGAACATTACTGTAGAAATGTATATAGCTGTGAGCTACTACCAGAAAACTGCTCTGCATCTTTCTTCTGGAAAGCAAACTACCTGAAAACACCTTAGTAAGCTTGGGACAGACATTGAACATATTCTAAACCTGTTTATTCCAAACGCTGGATTTAGGAGAAAGTACAAGTTCGTGATATTTCTTACACTAGATCTTACTGAAGACATTCTGATGACACCATCATCCACACAGGCATATCCATGAACACAGTGATATCCAAAGTGTGCTGCTGCTACTGAATGACACTTGGTGAATGCTTGGGGTAACACATTCAATAGTCAATCATAAGGATCTTTCTCAAGTAAACAAACAATTAAGGCAGAAATATGTCAAGATGTGAAAAAAATAAGCAGACTTCCACAGCAAACTTGGGAACAAGAAAGGATAACAAAGCACACAATCTCAGCTTTCTGAGTAAAGACTTAAGCTTCTAAAAGTCTAGAATAAGCAAATAGTACCTTTCTTTGACATAAGAAGCAATTGGGATAATATAATTTCCCCAGAAGCCTTTGGAACTCTGTTTACTGAAGCAAAGTATTAAATTATTTTCTGATCTTTGCATTTTTTTGTTTGTTGTTTTTAAGAACTCCCTGAAGAGGGATGAACAGATTTATTTTTGTTGAAATGAACCATGTAAACTCCAAGATTCATCAGTGTAAAACAATATTACTCCAGATACCTAAAAACTTAGTTGTTTCCTTTTAGTTTGTAAAGTCTCTCCTAAGAGTGTGAGAACTGATAAGAGGTTCTTGTACACATCAAGCTGAATCTGATGCAGATGACTATCCTGCAGCTTGTGGAGCACAGGATTTGATGAAGGAATTGAGAGGGCTGATGTTAGCACAGTTTGCCTAAGAAGCAGCTCATTATGGTTGACTTTGGCTTTCTCTAGTAATTCAACAAACACCTACCAAATCTCATTTGAGGGAAAGGAAGGGAAGGATGGGAGGAATTATAAGAAACCCCTCAAGGACATAGAAAAGAACTGCTAAAGTGCATTTCTGGCAAGTAGAATTATTTTGCTTTCTAGCCATCCCTACATATACTCCTGAACCCATTGCATTGGTCCTCTCTTACCCCTGAACGGAGAGTCCTGCAGGCAGCTGCTCCCAGCTCTCTTCCACTTGAATAGCACAAAGGAGCTACACAGACCCTTGCTCTGTGTTTACCAGTCAACTGCACTTTACATCAGAAAATAGAATCTAAAAATTCCAGACAGAGCCCAAAGAGGGTATGGTCCTCAGGGACTTAAAGAGCTGTACCCACCAACACAGGGTAAAATTCCTGTCTTCTACTGTAGTAATAATGAACAGGGGAAATACCTGAAGGCCCAACTCCAGAGAAACTTTCAGCAGAGTGATGTCTGGCAAGCTGTCCATGAGTGTTGCTATTTTAAATGCATCTTGGGCAAGTTTGAAGATGTGTGATGAGGAGTGGATATTTTTCTGGATGGATTCTAACACTGTTTCCAGCCTCTGAACATCACCTGCAAGGTGTAAACAGAATCACCAAAACAGAACAAGCTCCCAAAACATCCTGAGATGTATTATAATTGAGCCTGCCATTGTTATGCAGTAGTATGATGTTTCAGTTATACACATTTTGGTTTTTATAAACCTTTCATAATGAAATCACATGAATGAAAGATACAAGACAGCGCAAATTCCTCTAGTGTCTGATGGTGTTAGTGTAGTACATACCAAAAGTCATTCTGATTTGTGAATTTTAAAAGTGATTTGTCCACTTCTGGGTTTAACAGTCTATATCATGTGTAAGAAGAAAAAAAGCTGTCTCATCAGCTGTCTGAAATCAAGCCCATCTGGCTTTTATAATCTGTTTATTCCATGCAATATTAAAAGCATACATTTATTTGAGTAAGTAACTGACAGCAATGTACCTTTGGCCGCTGTTAGCATGGTCGATGCCAGCTCACACTGCTGAGATTCGATGTGACTTAGAGTGAACCAGCGGGGATACCGGTTTGGAACAACTGATGCAATGTGGTGTGAGCGAGACAAGTCTCCCGAAGGAGCTGTAGATTCCAAAACTAACAACCTGAAATAAGGAAGAAATCCTCTTTAATTAAATCATTATTATATTAGGTTACTCATAAGCAAAGCAAAAGCTGCAAGAACACTTGACCATTTTTATGAAATGTGCAGTTTGGCATATAAAGATATTGGAAAACGACTTCTTGTGGAACCTTAAAAGTCCATTTGCCAAACTTGCCTACATCAGCAGACATCTGCAGGAATTCACAGGACAATTAAGCTGTCTGTTAGCCAAGGCAGCAGAGATGTTCTGCATCATCCATAGAGTTGAAACTTTTTTCCCCTGCCCCATTTCAGTCTTTGAACCACAGCCCTCAGGAAGGAAAGTGGAGTAGTTCTCCATCATACTGAGAATGTAAATATTTTCCACTTTTTTTCCATTTTGTCACTTTGAATTTCATTGCCAGCTTCTATGTTCCTTTGCTGTGAAAAGAAATGCTGTTGTGAATTGGTGCCTTTCATACAATTTTGGCAAGATAAGGGAACATCATAACTAGCACAATCAGATTTAGCATTCTTCATTTTTTCCCCTTTAAAACATCTACTATTTAGCTAGGTTTCAGCAAATCTACTTAAACATTACCATTAAAGTCTGACTCCCAAAGCCTGGGTTGAAATTCAGGCTTAACAAGGGGTCAGCCAAACTAAGCCAAACATTCAAGCTCAGATTCCAAGTGAACAGTCAACTAGGTCACCGCAGATCCACATTCTCCAAGGCTCTACTCCATATGTTTCAGTGTTGCAAGCAGAGAACTATAGAGATAAATGACCATCAAGGATAGCACACCCTGTCCTTGCAGACCCAAGGTGCATGCATGAAAGGCCTTCTGATCTCAGCTTTCATTGATTTCACACTAAGTGTTCCGCACACTAAAAGAGGATTTAAAAAAAAAAATATGAAAGAAACAGCAACAGATTATTTTTAATACAGAGGCAAAATATTCCAGATTTGTCATAATGGGTTAATGACCTGTGTAGACTTGTGTGCAGACTGACACAAACACATATCTGGAGAGCAACTAGCTGTAGTCTTGGGAAGTTAACTTTTTTGATAAATGTTCAAGCGAAGAAAGAAATACGCTCCACTTCTAAAAGGATGAGTAACCACACAGATTTCATCCATGCCATGGAGGAAGGGATGCTCAAATTTCCTTCCTCTGATTCATTCCACCTCACAAACATGAGATAGACATTCAATCTTAATGTTTACTTTTATCTTTCCCCTCCTCAAAGCAACATTTAGTTTTAATTAGTTTTTCATTTGGCTTGTATCAGGAGTGCTTTGTACACTAAACTATCACTTTGGTGTGAATGGAAAGAGTAACCAGCCTTTATGCGAAATTTTGAGGAATGCAGACAAATATGGAATAGAAAGTGTCTGCATTTGCCATCATCATAGTTCAAGACAGCAGTCCACATTTCTTAAGAGTGCCAAATTTATATTAAAAAAAATAAAAATAGAAAGGTTGAACTCTCATCAACCTTTTAATGTGATGCCAAGAAAGCTATGGAGAACAGCCCTGATTATGCTGATGTCTCTGGTGATTTTACCAGATGGAAACAAACAGAAAATTTTTTCTTATACTGGTCTATTTGAGAAGTAACTTCTTTTGCTGAGATGGCAGTTCTGTAGAGAACTAGAGATTTGATCATTTGGGTCTTTCAGTGCCTTGCTTGTTTTTCCAGTCGAGAAAGGAAACTTCCAGAAAATAAGTTTTCAGTTATGATTTGTTTCTGGGGAAAGCCCAAATCTTTCTTCAAGAGGAATGGCATGCTGCTGTCACATTCACTATGTCTATTTCAGTCTTTCAATGTGGTCTCAGTAGTTACGTTTAAGGAGGAAAACTCCACAAAAACAATCTCTGAGAAACACTTTAAGGTTGTGGCTGGAATTAAATACAAGGACACAAGTCTACTTTATAAAAATTACCTTTTTTCTTAACTGCTCCCCAACCAAACAAGAAAACAACCCCCAAAAAATCCAGCCACACAAAAACACACACCACTCATTTTGTACTATCTTGCTGATCTGGTATGACCAGGGTTATTGATGCACTTAACTTGCAATGAAAGAAAAGGGGTGTACTGTAGATGGCTCCGGCATCTGATCATATGACTGAAAGATCTCAACAGTTTATCAGTAATGCACTTTTGTCTTTTCAATCTATTTCCTTTCAAGCATGTATATTTCTTAGACTCCTTCCTTAAGATCCACCATTAGACACTCTTGGAGGCAAAAAACCCCAAACAGACTAAGCAGACTTTTTGCCTGACCTGATAGTAGCTATGTTTTGTTCTTATGCATGCCCTCTCATTTAGTCCTTTGAACACAGGATTATTTCCTCCCCATTTAGCTTTCTGGAGAAACTAGCTCCAGAATACACACCTCCGGAACCACTGGGACACAACCTGTCTGATGAAGCTAAATGCTACTTATGGGAATAGTGTGTCCTTCAGTCATTGTGCAATCATTCTTGATAATAAAGACCAGGAAAACCTAAAACTTTTTTTTTTTTTTAAGCCTAGGACTAGATTGCTCTTAGTATTCAGTTGTGACTATTCTTTGTCAACCATCATTTACTACAAGTTCTTGACAGCAACCAGACAATCCAGATGGGACCACTTTCTTCAATGCACTGTACATGGACAACATAGATTTATCGCTGATCATTTAGGCCCTGGGAACTTCCATTAGAAGGTGTGAGGGACCAACCCCTCCGGACCTACTTTGGGAAATGGTATCGAAACCCCATTGTAGTCCCTGCTCATATGCATCCCAAAAGGCCTGCCTGGGAGGATGGAGACTGCAGCAATGGCCTGCATACGGCCTCTGGCCTGCATAGATGAGATAACGACAACGATTGAGATAACGACAATGATCGAGGGGTGGAGGGGGCGTAGGTCCACTCCAGCTGCTCATACATGAATGGCTCAGTCACACTTACTCGTTGTGAAATCTAGTTTCTAGGCCTATAAAATAGGGGGCTGCAATGGTGGGCTTTCGGAGATTCATCAACACTGACCATCAACACTGACCCTCCCCCGTTGGCTGGACTAACAAAGCTGGATCCAGGACTGGTGATTTTCCTGTCCTCTTTATCTCTCTCTCTTTCTCTCTCTCTTTGTCTCCCCTCTCACCTTTTTCTTCTCATCCCCTTTTCCTTTACTTAATATAGATATGTGGGTGATTTTCTTTAGGTTGTTCAGTATTAATTCCTACTAGTGTAATAAATGTGCTATTTGTTATAAACAGACCTTGTGTGCTGCTACACCGTAATCTGATCAAGGGGTATTGGACGGTCAAGCTTTTACTTGGACCGTCATACATTTACTCTCTCTGGGAAAAGACCAGGTCTGAGACACACCAGAAGGCTGTGCTGCCATTCAGAGAGACCTTGACAGGCTGGAGAGTTGGGCAGAGAGAAACTTGATGAAATTCAATAAGGGCAAGTGTAGAGTCTTGCATCTGGGGAAGAACAATACCATGTACTAGTACAGATTGGGGGCTGAGCTGCTGGAGAGCAGTGTAGGAGAAAGGGACCTGGGGGTCCTGGTGGACAGGAGAATGACCATGAGCCAGCCATGTGCCCTTGTGGCCAAGAAGGCCAATGGCACCCTGGGATGCATTAGAAAGGGTGTGGCTAGCAGGTCAAGAGAGGTTCTCCTCCCCTCTATTCTGCCTTGGTGAAGCTGCATCTGGAATATTGTGTCCAGTTCTGGGCCCCTCAGTTCAAGAAGGACAGGGAACTGCTTGAAAGAGTCCAGCGCAGAGCCACAAAGATGATTAAGGGAGTGGAACATCTCCCTTATGAGGAAAAGCTGAGGGAGCTGGGTCTCTTTAGCTTGGAGAAGAGGAGACTGAGTGGTGACCTCATCCATGTTTACAAATATGTAAAGGGTGAGTGTCAGGATGACTGAGCCAAGCTTTTCTCAGTGATGACCAGTGATAGGACATGGGGCAATGGATGCAAACTGAAGCATAGGAGGTTCCATGTGAATATGAGGAAGAGCTTTACTGTGAGAGTGACAGAGCGCTGGAACAGGCTGCCCAGAGAGGTTGAGTCTCCTTTGCTGGAGACATTCAAAACCCTCCTGGATGCATTCCTGTGTGATGTACTCTAGGTGATCCTGCTCTGTCAGGGAGGTTGGACTAGATGATCTTTCGAGGTCCATTCCAAAGCCTAGGATTCTGTGATTCTGTGAGAGTAGGATTTTGAGCTCAGCCGCACCTAGGCTCCTCTCTGAAGGAAGTCTAGAAAGCAAGGGGTTTCATTCCTAATCTCCCTGGGCTGCCCAGTCTGAGTTGTGACATGTACAGGACTGGATCCAGCTGCACTTAGGCTCCTCTATTGCAGCAGGGGGTCCAGTTCTAACTTTCCTGGGTTCTTAAATCCGGGCCGTGTCAGAAGGCCCTTCTTAGCCATCATTAAGAACCTTGCCTGCCCTGAGATAAAGTCAACATATACTGAGCACTCCCTGATAATTTTATTTTTTTTCCTGATTACTGAAGACAAATGGGATGCAAGTGAGACATTTTGTTGTCACATGACATACTCCATTTAAATCCCAACATTCACCCCGAAGAAAAATGTAATGGCTCAGACCACACCATATAGTTTCAAATCTATCATTAAGAGTTAATTTACAAAGAAGGCTGGTGGAACAAATGGTTGTATTAGTTGCTAAGCAGCAGATGATCCTGATACTGCTGATGAGATTCTTCCCTCCTCATTTCCTTGCCACTACCATCACACACACATACAACCACATCAGTAAAAGAACATATGTGCTAAAGCTGTCATTTAACACATGCCCCAAGAGTGGAATTTTAGAAGGATTTGTAACACAGAATTCTGTTTTACAGTTTTAAATAAACACTAATTGTACATTTATAAATTATTATACTGCAGTTACTACAGACGTCAGTTGCTTTTACAGATGACAGAACCAAAGCAATTTCTCCTTAAAGGAAATGCTTATTTAGAGAAAAAGACAAGGTCTTGATTACCAAGCTTTTGCCCCTTTCCAAATGACTACTTGTGCTCCTAGATGATTTGTGAATACATACCGCATGGCTCTCAGTGCAGTTTTGTATGCCAATTCAGCATCATGAGGTAGGAGAGAGGTGAAAAGATACTTGGCAAATGTGTGCATTGGAACACTCTCTCGATGGATGACTTCACCTAAACCACTATATGGTCCAGCTGTGGGAAAGAAAAAGAGAATGTCAGTCTTTACAGACTGTTAAAGTCCAACTTCTGAACCTTTAAAAACATTCACTATACCTTGAGTTAGAATTGGTATTCAGAGACAGTTTGCTGTACAAAAGGTAAAGTTACATTGATAATTTTGTGAAATATATTACAAGCATATTAAATACTATATAGTCTTTGAGACAAGACTGCAAATTGTATAGAACTAAGCACACTACCAGTGCACAAATGACAGAATGGTCCCAAGGCTCCATGGGGCTCATACAGAAAGTCTATGGTATGCAAAAGCAGAAGGTGATAATCCCAGCTTTAGGTCTGCCTAGTTATATTGTGCACACGAATCCCTATGCACCCTCTCTTGGTGCATAATTGCGTTAGTACAAACCAACCAGAAAAATAATTTTTAAAAGTGGCTACAGTGTGCCCTGGTTTGAGCCAGGATGAAGCCAATTTTCCATTGGCTGATTTTTTTTTCCTTCAGTAAGCTTTCTTTTAACTAGCACTGGAGCATCCCAACTAACGCTGATAACAGTGGAATGTTTTTCTAACTACTGAGGCTTCAAGGCTGCATCTTTATTCTGCTCAGACGATGGGGAGATATGTGACCCCCCCATAGGAGGCTGAGTTAGACAGACAGCAAAATTGGCCAGATATATTCCATTCCATATATCTACGTAAGCTCAGAGGAAGGTCAGAGATCACAGAAGACAACTTCCTTCCTGCTTCTTCTTCCCTTCTCTTCCATCCATGGCTGGCATCCGGGAGGACTCCGTCCATCCATCACTGTCGACCACCTAGGCTTGAGCTTGCTAAATTATTTTAAAGAAGACATGAGAATCTGGGACAAGAAACCCACTGATATTCTACAGATATGCATGCAAGAGCTACTAAACACAATAAAGGCAGGAGATGGTTCGTCCAAGAAGAAGGCCGCACCAGTTACCACCCAAGATGGTGCATCAAACTTTAATGTTCAAAATTAGAGGTGTCCTGCCTCCAATCAGAGGGAGGAGAGGGACAACCGAGTTTACTGGGCTGTGCGGATTCGGTCGCCTGGCACATTAGAACCACAAAGGTATAAAACTTTGGTGGACACTGGTGCACAGTGCACCCTAATGCCGTTGAATCATAAAAGGACACAGCTCAACCATTTGCCATGGACTGATCCACACTACACTGGAGAATGGTGGAGCTCTGGAACACCTGCAGTACATCGATGACATTGTGTGGGTTGACAGCCAGAAGAAGTTTTTGAGAAAGGCAAAAAGATCATTCAAATTTTTTCCGGATGCTGGTTTTGCTGTAAAAAGAAGCAGGGTCAAGGGATCTTCACAAGAGATCCAGTTCCTGGGAATCAAGTGGGAAGATGGTCATTGCCAAATCCCAATGGATGTGATTAACAAAATAACAGCTATGGCCCCACCATCTACTAAAAAGGACACTCAAACCTTTTTAGCGACTGTTTGTTTCTGGAGAATGCATATTCCAGGTTACAGTGAAATTGTGAAACCTCTCTATTAAGTGACCCAAAAGAAGAGTGACTTTAAATGGGGTCCTGACCAACAGAAACCTTTTGAGCAGATCAAAAAGGAGAGGCCTGGCAAACTGACTCTATCACACTGCCTCAGACCCGTCAGGGCAAGCGCTATATGCTCAACAATAGTGGAAACGAGTACAGGATGTTTGGAAACATATCCTGTGCCTCATGCCTGTCCTGGTTTGAGCCAGGATGAAGCAAATTTTCCTTTTACTGATTTTTTTCCCTTCAGTAAGCTTTCTTTTAACTAGCAACAGTGTGTTCTGCTAGGTTGATAAGACAGTGGAATGTTTTTCTAACTACTGTGGCTTCAAGGTCGCACCTTCACTCTGCCAGCTCAGACACTACGGGGAGATCTGTGACCCCCCCCGTAGGAGGCTGAGTTAGACAGACAGCAAAATTGGCCAGAGATATTCCATTCCATATATCTACATAAGCTCAGAGGAAGGTCAGAGATCACAGAAGACAACTTCCTTCCT